ACACCATCCACACCCACAGGAAGTAAAAGGACTAAAGGGAGTTAAGGGACTAATGGGAGTAAAGGGAGTAATGGGACTAAAGGGAGTTAAGGGACTAATGGGAGGAAAGGGAGTAATGGGACTAAACGGACTATAGATATTACGATGTGTGTGAGGCAGTATAGCTTATAGGCGAAAAGTAAAACGGGATAAAATTAATTTCTCGTGGACCTATGCAAAAACTCCTTGATCTACAAAGTTGAAAGTTGATTCGAGTTGAGTTCAACTTTTCAACTCAAAGTTTAAAAGTTGAATTTAACTTTTAAACTTTTATTTTAGTTGATTCATCAACTTAACTTCAAATCAACTTTATTCGAATATCTATTGTAAAATTATTTTCTTAGACCGCTATCCTTCTATTAGCAGTAGGTCAAGCAGTTATTTCTTGTATGGATGACACCCGGAATTATTGCAATTCTATGTTTTATTGTTTACAGCCTTATGGCTGTACATGCGTGGTCATTTATGAAGTTAACAACGCCTGAAGAATTGGTTTCGAAAGCTCACGTTTATTCGAGCAAAAGCTGTCAACTATTAAAAGTCTCCTGAAAATCCAGATATTTGGACAAATGGGATTCCTGATTTACTTATTAAATGCTAAATCGAAGAGGTGGCCAAAGACAATAAAAAGGTTCTCAATCCGCTTTTAATAAGTGGATATTTGAGCCAGTATGACGATTTCAATGATCACTCTCCACCATTCAAATTTATTCAACCGAATGGATGTTCGGGTAGTTGCATTGCTAAAATTCATCAATTTTTAGTCAAGAAAATGTCATTGCAGATCCAGATCCGGTCTTTTCGATACAGCTCCGCTCCTGTTCCACTCAAAACATACAAACAGACTATCAATCAGACCGTGACACAGTATCACGACAAAATCACGGAACTGCAAGAAAGTTGAACCTATAATGTCCGATGCTATGAAACTGAAGTATCTGATGGCCGGCGTGAAAGAATCATTGAAATTTCAGATATCCCTAAATGATCCAAATTATCTTAAAGATTCATTTTTTTAGATTAGCTTCAAAAGCGAATACTAAGCCGCCAGAAGCTCGTGCTGTCTTCTAGAATTGATTTAAAGGGCCAAATAAAAACTTTCATTTTTTGATTAAATTAAAGAAGATGTAAGAAAAGTCCATGTCTGTCTACTGTAGTTCGTTTTTCTTCCCTGGTAATTTGGAGAAATTTCGGCCACAATCTTACCAAACCCAGCTTTGCCTTGGAAGAATTTTCCTGAGAACCCTCAAAATCGGCCATACGACATCTGATCAACATAAAATGGATTCGGATAGGGGTAATCTGCGACGCTAAGTCTAGCGCTGATGGCTGTTTTTAGTTTCAAAGTAATCCAAGGTCACTAAATCAAGATTTTCGAAATTCCAGTATTTTGCCGTTTGATTGCACATAAAGGGAATATTTTGAAATTGATTTAGTGACCTCGGGTCACTTTGAAACTATAAACAGACATCACCGCTAGACTCAACGTCGCAGATTATCCCTATCTGGATCCATTTTATGTTGATCAGATGTCGTATGGTCGATTTTGAGGGCTCTCCGGAAAATCTTCTAGCTCTTGAACGAAACATGCTAACGAGCTCAGCCTTGCGCAGATCGGAAGAGAACACTTTTCTCTATCGGATGATTAGATTGGAAATTAAAATCGAATGGAAAATGTTTTCAGAATGTGGTCCGCAAAATATCCAAAAATAAGCCATCTGATTGGTCAATTACTTGACCAATGGAATTTGACATAGTTTTATTACCCAAATATTGGGTAATAATAAACGGTCAATACGCATTGGGCTTTCGAATGGCGAAAACCGCAGCTCTCTATGATGTTCCTATCAAAAGTTATTCAAACTTTTTCACACACCACTGGTGGACACTTTAATTGACATCTTATAGCAGTAATGCGGGAAGATCTTCAACTCGCTTAAGTCAAACGATTTGGAGCGTATATACTAGGACATACGGCGATTCTTTTGGCGTTTTTCGTTTCAGAAAATATCTATACGTTGCTGAGTTATGATTAAAACAAAATCGTCCAATAAATTTTGTCCAATGAAGTACCTCATTTTTCTAGTAATGTCACAATATCTCTAACGCATATAGGTCAAACAAATTGATATTTGGAATGTATCTACTAGAAGCCATGGCGGTTCTTTTGGCGTTTTCCGCTTCTCAAAATATCTATTTGTTGCTGAGTTGTAATAAAAACAAAATCGTCCAAAAAATTTTGTCCAGTATAGTATTGTGTTGTTCGTCATGCATATTTATTTTTTTCTTCTTTATCTGTTGCTGTTGTTTATTCCTTCAAAATCATAAACGCGTAAATGCATGCGTGCAGAGAAACAAAAAAAGAAAAAAGAAGAGCATCCAGTGTCGGTAGAAAGCAGCGAGATTGATTATTTCTCTTTTATTCTTTCTGTCGCACATGTTACTTTGTCCTTCAGCTCGGGACGTCTGTGCACGCTTTACTTTTTTACTATTACTGACACTCCGAACCAACGTGTATAGAAAGAAATTTTTGACAAGAACAAATGATCAAGATAACATTATTCATGTGCACTTATACAGCAAAAGGCAAGTTGGATCAATTGCGTACAAACACTTTGTGTCAGATTTCAGTCTCGAATGTAGCTTAGAGATAGAGAAATAAGGACAAATTCTGTTTACTATGGCATTTAGCAAAATGGCACATCTACGATATTCTTAGTTCTTATTTACGTTGTAGATCTCGTTTTGATACATAATAATAATCGATGATTTCCATTAAACGTCGCAATCAGCGATCTCGCTTCTCATGTTGGCATCCATTGTTACCAGCATTCGAAGCTAAAATTATTTTTGCTGTACGAGCTCTCATCGGAATTGGAGTAAGTCGAAGCGCGCAGAAAAGAAAAAATAATAATAACTAATTAGTAATTCTCTTTTGTAGAGTTGTGCTGCGTTTACTCTCTCACCCGCCACGTCTAGTGCAATTCAAGGTCAACTTCTGTTGAGTGTCGGCCTAATTGTTTCATTACAAAGTACTCTCGGTGCAACAATTCAAACTGGCGTTCGTCTCTGTCTTGCCGGTGCTATTGCTACTGCATACTGTCTTCCAATCGTCAATTTTTTAGATCGAAATGTTTATAATGCTATTGCAACTACCACTTTACTTGTTCTTCTCATTGTTTATACAGATTTACCGGCGCATGTTCGTCGTTTTACCATTGTACCAACATGTATTATTCTTCTTCAATGGTATGGCAAGTCTCATATTAATACTGCATTTGTTCTCCAAATTTGGGCATCACTTTCACTTGGTGGTGCCTTTGCCATCGTTGTTTCATGTATTCCAATACTTGTCCCACCGACAGCCTATCGAGAATTAACGATGCGAATGCGATTCATTGCTCGACAGACACGACGCGAAACGACAGCTATTATTTTACTCATTTCACAATATCATAATATTCATTCGACGAATAATTACACATATGAGATAAATGAAAAGACAAATACCAATACAACCGATGATATCGAAATACCGACGAATTCTTTTCGTGAAGATGATCTTTATCATCATTCAAGTTCATTCGAAGATCTGAAAAATGATCATTTACTTAAAGGTGACATCATCGATTTACATAAACTTGTCAATGATGAATTACAACAGATGCAACGGGCAGCAAATGAAATCTCATATGAACCATATTTTATTTTGCTCAAATTCTTGAATCTCATGCGACAAGGATTAAGACGTATTTCATGTTTTACTAAATGCATTACAAAACCATCGACACTTCAGACACGTTTACAAATATGGGTTACGGGATTGCTATCACTACAGCGGGTCATTAGTGGAATGTTGACATTAGATAATCATCATAGCGGATTAATTGGCCAACGTCGATTGATTGATGTGATATTTTTCAAAATAAAAATTACTGACCTCAGATTGTTTTTCGTTTCTAATTTCAGGCTGTGTGCAGTCTACTTGAATCAACATTCAATTTTTTGGATGCTACACTCTCATATACAACTTCATCGACTACTCCATTCAATACGGCTTATACTATCGCATGTCGGTCTAAAGTTGAGCAAGCACTCGCACATTTTTTCGAAACATACAAACAAGTTCACGAGAACTCTCATTATTCGAATATTTCAAATACGAAATTAATTCAACTCAATACTTTTTTATTACTTATTCTACGACTTATTCATGTTGTTCTTACAGCTGCTGAATCATCCGAAACACCAGGTGCTCGTCTTGATACGGATCTAGATTATCAATCAGTATCTTTACCATCACCATCATTGAAGTGGAAAAAATCGTTTGAAGATCTTGTTACATACATTGGATTAGTACCATCATATGGTAAAATAATACGTGCAGTGAAAACAAGTTTAAGTGTATTCGTTTCGGCTGTTGTTGTCATTTTCTTTCGTGAACGTTTACAAGCCTATGGTTGGGTCTATTGGGCACCGATGACAACTGCACTTGTCTCAGATTCATCTGAAGGTAGTACTCTTCGATTATCATTTCAACGATTAATGGGTGTTTTACTCGGTTCAACATATGCTTATATTATTGTACTTATTACTCACAATCTTGTTATGATTGGTGTATTTGTTTCGTTATTTGTCGCACTCATGGCTTATGTTAAAACTGATCCGAGTAAATCTTATTTTGCTAGTGTATGTGCACAATCGGCATCGATTATAACATTTTTATCGAATCAACATGATCTAAGTGCATCGAATAAGGCAACATTAGCACGAACAAGTTTAACATTCTTGGGTATTTTTATTCATGTCATTATTTCGAATTTGATTATGCCTATTACAGCTCGAGCATTGATTAAGAAAAAGGTAAAACAAAGAGGAAATCAAATTTGACATATATTTTTCCGTCTAATTTAGATATCTGTTATGATCACAGGTGTATCCGAAGCACTTCATGCAGCTACTGATGATTTTTGCTCGTTCGTAGACACAACAAATGGTCTTTCACCATCCACAGATCAGGCTTCATCCGATCTATTAAACACTCTTACTGAAACTGAATGTATTGTCGATAGTTTTCCAGCATTGTTAGATGAAGCTCTCAATGAACCTAATCTTTGGAAACGTCCTTTCGTTGAAGTTAAAGATCGATACAATGAAATAAATAATTCTATTCGTAATATTATTCGCACAATTCGATTTGTTCGTCGTTGTACAACAATACTCAAAGCCGAATCTAAGTTACATCTAGTACAAGAAGACAAGTAAGCTCTAGTTGTTTTTCTTTCCTTCATCTATTGTACATTTCTTATTTGTCTGATACATTACAAGTATGACCGAAGACATTGTTGCCGATCCACAAGAGACATACAATACCTGGACTGCAAATGATCTACGTCGATTACAAAAAGATCTTGATATTCCATTAACTATCTTTAAGATACCGGGTAATCCCCATTTAAAATCGAATAATCTCATCAGTGATCATCATCATCATCAATTATCAAATAGTTTACCATCGATTCCTATACAAACTAGTACAAAGAATACAATTTCTTATAAACCAGTGCTTGAACATATTCGTACACTTGAAAAAAATATACAACAAGTTCTTTCACTTGTCGAACAATTACTTCGTAATCAAGCAACAGTTGATATTGGTACTTATCCATTAGAAAAGATGCTTCGTGAAGATTCATTTGACAGTCAATTAGCTACCTGTGAAAAACGTCTTTCATTTCATCTATTGCCACAAGTAGAACCGATGAAAGTTCCATCAAAATACTATTCGTTATGTTCATGTTATACTAATAATAATCATAAACAACAGAATATTAAACGTTTACCTTCACTTCGTTATGCAGTAGATAATATGATAACATCACTTGTTCAATTTCTCTATGCAAATAATCGTTTTATGCGTACACAAGAAAAGTCACATCAATCAATTGGTGATTTATTTTCATTTCATACCCTATCGTATGCATTTAAAAATATGGTCGAAGCAACAACTGATCTGGCCAAGAGTGTACGACGTATTAAACATATCGATACACGAACATTAACACGATCGGAAAAAGAAGAACAGCAACAGCAACAGCAAACAGTTTGAAATAACGGGTGGGGCAGATTAAATTGCCGGTCTTTGCGAACTAAATTGCGGACAGCCATTTAACTCTGTTTCAAAACCAAGTACAGCATTGGATAGAGCCAGCAAAGCTCTACATTTCCATATAGAAAGCTAATTTTGAATAAGCTTCTTTATGTTCAGAAATTTTAAGAATATCACATGCTCAAAAATTAACCCTGCTCGCTTATACCAGGTGTCTCAATGTTTGCAACATTTTTTTATTTTACATATATCTCTGCCTGAGAAAATGATAAAATCTTGAATGTTTTTTTGAACGATGCGCCGTGAAAAGCTCAACTGCGCGAGAACGTAACAGAACGAGCGAATTGGAGGGATTTGCTTGCAGCTGACATCGAATATCTACCCAGGGCGAGTAATCCGAATTTCGGATCCCGGCGGATCCTGTCGGAAATCTGGCTAAATCCGGTACATTCCGACAGGATTCCGGCAACTTCCGACGGGATCCGTGTCGGAAGTTGTCGGAATCGTTGGTGGCGGAATCCGGCCGGAAGTTGTCGGATCCGACGATTTCAGCCAGTCGGAAGATGTCGGAAAGTGCCGTATCCGCCGATTTCCGCCAGGCGGAAGGTGTCGGAAAGTGCCGGATCCAACGGGATCCAGTAGGAATTCTATAGTTAAACCAGATATTAATAGAGATGCCACAAATCCTATTTATCTGCATAAAGATTGTAAATGATCGGTATGAAACTCTCCCAAATCTAACCAAATCTTTGTGTCAATTAAAACTCGTTTTATTCGTTCTATCCGATACTCATATTTATTTACCAAATCTAAAAAGACTAGTTCTAAGATTTGGAAGCATTTGGTGGGAATATTTTCACTAAATGCTACGAAATCTTAGAACTAGTCTTTTTAGATTTGGTAAATAAGTATCAGTATCAGATAGAACGAATAAAACTAGTTATAATTGACACGAAGATTTGGTTAGATTTGGGAGAGTTTCATACCGAAAATTTACAATCTTCATGCAGATAAACAGGATTTGTTGCACCCCCTACCTAAAATGAAGAAAAGAAATTTATTCAATTAAATAAGATGCTTACTGTTCAATTTCGATGTTGAAGCTGACCTTAAATAAAGAAAAAAAATTATTTAATTAAATAAGATATTTACTGTTCAATTTTCATGTTCAAATTGATGTAAAATAAGGAAAAAAATATTCAATTAAATAAAATAGTTACTGTTCAATTTTCATGTGCATAGTCATCTAAAATGAGAGAAAAAATTATTTAAATAAATAAGATACTGATGGTTCCATTTCCATGTTCAAATTGACCCAGAGCTGGGCAACTCAATTCAAAAAACGGCCAACTCAACTCAATTCAATTCAATTCATGAACCTAGTTGAATTGAGTTGACAAAAATTTTTCAGGGTCTACTAGTTGAATTGAATTGAGTTGAAACATTTTTCAAAGATATACTAATTGCTTTGAATTGAATTGGACAAAACTTTCAAACATCTATGAATTGAATTGAATTGAGTTGGGAAAAAAATCTTAATCAAGGAATTGAATTGAATTGAGTTGGAAAAAGATATTCTGAGATCACTGAATCGAATTGAGTTGAACTGAAAAAATTTTCAGAGCCTACTGAATTGAATTGAATTGAATTGAAAAAAATCTCGAGGTCACTGAATCGAATTGAGTTGAATTGAATATCTTTTTTGGAGATGAGTGAATTGAATTGAATTGAGTTGAAAAGAACTTCGGAGATCACTGAATTGAATCGAGTTGAATTGAAGCATTTTTCTCGAGATTTGCAAATTCATTTCAATTCAATTCAACTCAAAGATATTTCTGAAACTGTTGTTGTATGATCAATTTACGCATTAAAACTAATGAAAGATCAAGGTATGAACTATGATCTATTTTTGTAATTTTTCTTCCGAGCTTCTATTTCAACATAGCTGCATTATACTTGCATTTTGATGTATATTTTCGATGCGCTTCAGTCAACTTATCACTATTTTCTTTTCTTTTCTGATGGTTACGTATAATTTAAGCACCTAAGCTCTCAACGTATCGATTTGTTTTCCTATTCTTTCAAGTGACAGATACAATGTCCATTTATCCTTGTCTTATAGGGCAATATCATGCAAATCATTTGTTTGTTGACTGGTATGTTATCTATTAGGAACGCATACCTCTTATACTGTATACCTCTTTTGTTCATTATTGTTTGATTCAGTTATGACCTTCTCTTGTAGTCTGGCAATATTGTTGAATAAATAGTCCAAATCGTTCTACAGTAGATAACTCTAGTTAAAGTCAGACGTGAAGGAAACGAAATACCGAGGTGAGTTGAATTCAATTCAATTCAATTCAGTAATAGAGTTGAATTGAATTGAGTTGAAAAAAAAGTTCGTGTTCGATGAGTTGAATTGAATTTAATTCAGAAAAAACTTTCGAAGTCATTGAATTGAGTGGAATTGAGTT